GGCTTGGTGATCAGTTCTACTGAAGCTTTCATGCTTCTAACAAACCATGGTCTAAACATGAGATATTACTTCTTTAAAAATTATATTTACATAGCTGGACAGTGGTGGTGCATTCCTTTAATCCCAGGACTCAGGAGGCAGATGCAGGTGGATATAGATTTCGAGACAGCCCAGTCTATAGAGTGAGTTTCAGGACAGCCAGGGTTACACAGATAAACCCTGTCTTGAAAAAAACCACAAATTATAATTGTATAAGTATGATTGAATTAGCCGGGCGGTGGTGGCGCACGACTTTAATCCCAGCACTCGGGAGGCAGAGGCAGGCGGATCTCTGTGAGTTCGAGACCAGCCTGGTCTACAAGAGCTAGTTCCAGGACAGGCTCCAAAACCACAGAGAAACCCTGTCTCGAAAAAAAAAAGTATGATTGAATTAAAATATTTACTTATTTAATGTACACAATTGCTTTGCCTGCACATATATGTACATCAACTGTGTGCACACCTGTTGTCCACACAGGTCAGAAGAGGCATCAGATCCACTGGAACTGGAACTAATACATGAGCCGCAACGTGGGTGTTGGGAACTGAACTTGGATCTTAACCACTAAGTCACACTCCAGCCCCCTATTTAAAATTTCAAGTTAATTTGCAACTAACATACTCAGTAGGTATTGATCTTTTGTGGGTCCAGCATGGCTGGGATGACTTGGGGTGGCAAGGAAAAAAGGAAGGACAGACTTACAGGATACATATTAAAAATATGGGCCTGGGTGGGATATGCTACTTTGATGGAGTTCATCCACTATGAGACAACCCAGGATCTCAAGGGGTATATTATGTACAGCCTTAATTAGAAAGTTTGGTAGGAGGTCTCTGTAGGCCAGCAGTCTCAGGCTGTAAACATTCAGGAGAGGGAAGCTGTAATTGCTAGGTTTTCTGCATACTGCCAACATTTGAACTCGGACCAGAGGAAGGCTTTGCATCCATCTGAGTCTGACCCAGAAGACTCCCACAGGTCTGAGTCCTTGACATGGCTGTGCCCATGTCAACAATACACATAAACTTAGGACTTCATCCACGCCTTACACATTTACTCAGGGATTCCTTAGCTCCCTACAGTGTAGCCATATGCCTGTATTTGGGTCAGAAGTAGCTTTCACAAAGGGATGAAGCAGTTGTATATGATTATATATTTTTTAAGACACTATATAGCCCTGATGCTCTCTTTGTAGGACCAGCTGGCCCTGAGCCCGCTGAAATCTGCCTGCTTCTGCCTCCTGAATGCTGAAATTAAAGGTGGGCACCACTGCTCCTGCAGAATAATTTCACATACTTTCAAGAGAACAATAAAGATGGATTACAAATTGCTTCTTTAATAATTTTTCATTACATTTTAATTTGCGTGTGCCTGTGTGTTGGGTTTATGCCACAGCACAGATATGGAGGTCAGAAACCAGCCTATAGGATCCAGTCTCTCTATCATGTGGGCCCTGGGGATAGCACTCAGGTTGTCAGGATTGGTGGCAGACACTTTCACCTCCTGAGCCATTTCACTGGCTCCATGCCCCCCCCCTTTTTTTTCTGTTTTTTCAAGACAGGATTTCTCTGTAACTTTGGAGCCTGTCCTGGAACTAGCTCTTGTAGACCAGGCTGGCCTCAAACCCACAGAGATCTGCCTGTCTATGCCTCTCGAGTGCTGGGATTAAAGGCGTGCTCCACCACCGCCCGGCTTTTTTTTTTTTTCTTAAAAACAGGATTTTATTTTTTTTTTAATTATTTTGTAGAGGGTAGAAGGTCCTTGTGCACACAGATAAGTACTAGGGAAACCAGGAAAAGTTAAACAGGGTTGCTGTCTCTTCGGAGGGAGATGTTTATCTGTCTTCCATCCAGAATGCTGGGAAAGGATGTAGTTTCCCTTTTGTGATCTTTCTCTTTCACTATCTGTAGGGCCAAGGTTCATCTGAATTCCCTAGAAGATTATGTTTGTTTACCCCTCCCAAATCTTGGGCATTCCTTCTCAGTCCATAAAACTCATCCTTAAGAGAGGTGTCACTTGTTCTTTAGCCCAAGTGACTTGTATTATCTTAGGGTTAGGACAATCTTGACTCCCACAGGCATTCTGTCTACCTCAGTCTTTCTCCCGAGACCCTTATTTTGAACTGTCTCTGAGTCAACAGTACTCATCTTTATGGAAGAAATCACGTGCACTTTGTAAAGAGTTTTAATGGAAACATGCCTTAAACTTTGTTGTACACATGGGACTGAGGTAATTGTCATCAGAAAACTTTTTCCCTCAAGATTGTGCTGTGCTTAAGTATGGCTAAAATAAACCACTCGATGTTAGACTCAGAAGTTTGACCCAGCCCTGGTTAACTAAGTTGTGCTGAACCAAGTTTCATGGTCCTCTCACCTGGACTATTTCCCTGCCAGTCACGATGCTTGCAGGGACCTCTGCATTATTTGTGTGTATGAGTGTGTTGCTCAAATGTATGTCTGTGCCCACGGTCATGCCTGATGCCAGAGGAGCTCAGAAGGAGAATCCTGGAATTGAATTTATGGGCAGTACGAGCTGACATGTGGGTGCTGAGAATTGAACCTGACTTCACTAGTACTGTGTATTAGTCAGGGTTCTCTAGAGAAGTAGAATTTATAGAATGAATGAATCTGTCTATCTATCTATCTATCTATCTATCTATCTATCTATCTATCTATCTATCTATCTATTGGGGATTTATTAGAATGGATTATAGGTTGTGGTTCAGCTAGTCCAACAATGGCTGTCTAACAATGGAAGGTCCAAAAACTCAGTGGTTCAGCCAATAAGGCTGTATGTCTGAATGGGTCTCAGTATATGTCAGAATCCTGAAGATGTAGGTTCTAATTCTAGTGAAGGATATGGACTTGCTATTGAAAGCAAGCAGGCAAAGAAATCAAGCTTCCCTTACATAATCTGCACCCACTTCAAAGGATTTAAATAAGAAAAAAAATCCTTCACAGGTGTTTCCAGCTGCTTGCATTTTAGTTAATTCCAGATGCAGTAAACTTGACAACCAGAATAGCCATCATACACTGAGTAGTTAGTTAGCTAGGTTCCTGGAACCAAGTATGGTTTCCCTCTTGTTGAATGGGTCTTAAGTCTAATTAGAGAACTGTTGGTTATCACCAATGTATGTATGTCACTATTGCACCCTCAGAGCTGTCACGCCATACTCCAACCAACAACTCTCTAGTCTGACCTGTATATACGCAAAGTGGAGAAGGCTGCACACAAGATTGACATTAACCAATACCACTGATTTACAGGTTTTGAGAGTTGTCAGCTGTGCCATTTCTCTGGGGGGTGGGGTGAGTCCTAGCAACAAGGCAAAGATCTGGAGCATATAAAGAAACAAAGCACAATGATTAAGGACCAGGCAGGTATAAAACGATGTTCTTAGTTTTGTTTGCTCAGGCCTACCACGCTTCAGACACTAGGTGTCAGCAGAACACCTTGTCTTTCTCTGATCTCTCTAGTCAGTGGGTGACAGCTCTCTCCTCTCTCTCTCTCTCTCTCTCTCTCTCTCTCTCTCTCTCTCTCTCTCTCTCTTTCTCTTCCATCCCTTCCTCCTTCCTTTAAAATTAAGTGCATTTTTTGTTTTTTTTTGATAATTTCATACAAGTACTATGTTTATATAATTTACTCCAGCTTCTCCTGTGTTAGTCCCTCTTAAATTAATGACCTCTTGTTTAATTATAATTGCTGCACAATTTTGGATATATGCATATGTAAATGCACATATATATGTATGTGTAGATATACGTGAGTGTATACACACACACACACATGACTAAGTTTATTTAGTGTGGCTTATGTACAGGTGTGACCACTTGGAATTGGATAACCTACCAGGGGACTTGTCCCTGGAGAAAACTGATTTTCCTCCCTTCTTAGAACCCTCCCAGTCACTGAGGCAGGTCTTACTTTGTAATCGAGGCTGGGTTTGAACTCCTTATGCCTTTCATCATCCCAAAGTTCTGGGCTCACAGGCTGTAGTACCTGTTAGTGGGCTGATTCTTTCTGTTTGAAAGTATAAGAAGTTTTTCTTTCCTTTTTTAATGACTTTATATATATTCAGCTCATGATCCTGGCTACTAATGAAAAACAAGAGGAAAGACTTCAGCAAAGATGTGGAACTCACAATATTGCTTGGGACAAACTCTTCAAAGAAAATACTCTTGTCTAATCCCAGCATTTGGGAGTCAGAAGCAGGTAGATCTCTGTGAGTTTCAGGCCAGCCTGATTTACATAGGGAATTCCAAGCCAGTCAGAGCTGCACAAAGTGACCCTGCCTCAAAAAAAAAAAAAAAAAAAAAAAAAAAAAAAAAAAAAAAAAAAAAAAAAAAAAAAAAAAGAAAAAAAAAAGAAAAAAGAAAAAGCTCTAATCTTATGATTTTATGAGTAAAAAGACTTAATTTGTATGTGTCTTCATATATAAAATTATAAAATACAGTGTATCAGTTTGGATGTCAATGCAACATTTTCCTTAGTTCTGAGAAGTAACTAGCCTATGAAAGCTAAACTCAGCATGAAGTCAAGGATGGTCTTGAATTCCTGGCCTTCCTGCCTCTACCTCTCAAGCGCTGGAAGAACAAGGAGACACTACCACATCTTTGTTTTGTTTTAGTTTGAGGTTCCTCCTCACACTGTGGTCCAAACTTGAATTTTCTGTTTTCCTGATTTAGTGCTATGGGTAGTGTGAAAGTTTTCGCTTATTTCACGCCCGGAAGAAGAGCGGCTCACAGTCATTCCACAGGGCCCAGCCTCACACTTTCTGTTTAAAGGTTTTGTTTACTTTGTGTTTGAGACGGTCTCACACTCTTGCTCATGCTGTCCTTGAACACACGGCACCTGCTTTAGTCTCCTTTGCGTTCAGATTGGGGGAATAAGCCACCATGCCTGGCACACTCACATTTCAACAAAAACGCACGAGGGTGGTACTTTCTCTGCATCCTTCTAACTAACTTCTTACTTGAGATCCCCTTAGCCTCGTTCTGCTGGGCACTGGAATTATAGGCAGGGCAACCACAGCCAGTTTATCGTCTATTTTCTGACAGCGGTCGTCCTAAAGGGTCTTACCGCGGTTTGATTCCATTTCTCCTAATTAGTAGGGATCTTGGCCGTCATTTCACATGCTTGCTGGGCATTCGCTATGATTTTGAAACAAGTTCTCCTAGTGTTGAACTGTCTATGTAGATGAGAATGACCTTGCCAAGTATTGGGACTACAAATCCCAGGTGAGACCAGTTTATGTGATCCTGGGAATCGAACCAATGGCTTTGTGCATTCTAGGCAAGCACTTCACTAACGGAGCTTCATCCCAGGCTTAGTAAACTCTTTTAAAAGGTATTTAGATTCACAATGCCTATTGGAGAGACTAGAGGGCCAAGTGAATCTCCACGACTCAGCTCTGGCCTTGTCTCCAACGCTACCTGGAGTCATCTGCAGCAAGAGGCAGACGACATTCTCACCGCTGCACCGCTGGGTACTCTCGGCCTGCAGATTCTGGATGACCCCGCTCGCCCCACCTCTCTAGCAGAAGCCACGCCCCTGAGCGCGTGAACACGCCCTTTACTTGCGTGCCTCTGCCCCTCCCGGCTGCACGCAGCCGCGTTCTTGTCACGTGGCGCCGTTAGGTCATCTGCGGATGGACTGCTGAGGGTTCCCGGAAAGGTGTTGCCTAGCGGGGATCAGATTCCCGACAGAGCTCAGCGCGGGTCTTTCCGGTCACGTGCTGCACGGAGCGGCGGCTTGACTCGTTATTGCTAGGCAACGGCTTGCACGCTTTGTCCGGTGCTTCATCCTAGCTGTCTAGGAGGATCTGGGCGCCGCAGGCGGACATGGACCAGTACTGCATCCTCGGTCGCATCGGGGAGGGCGCCCATGGCATCGTCTTCAAAGCCAAGCACGTAGAGGTGAGGCCACGCTGCGTTCCCCCTGCCTCAAGCCGCGGGCTGCGGCCTTCCGGTGCTGAGACCTGCAGGCCTCGGGGGTCTCTGGATGCTTGTCCGGGTCCCTTCTGTTGTGGTTCCGCTTCCAGCGGCGGGATTGCGGGAGCGCGTCCCCTGGCGGGCGGTTTAGATATTCCCGACCTAGGGGCGGATCTCTGCGGGTATCTTGTTCCCTGTGGGTTCTCTTTCTGCCCTTCATTGCCAGAAGGTGTTCTGGCAGTATCTGCTCTCTTTACTGCACAGACTGGAGAGATCGTTGCCCTCAAGAAGGTGGCCCTGCGGCGGCTGGAGGATGGCATTCCTAACCAGGCCCTAAGGGAAATCAAGGCTCTGCAGGAGATCGAGGACAGTCAGTATGTGAGTGGAGCAGGGATCTGGTGGACAGGACGGTGGGCGACAGGTTCCAAGACAGCAGCTTCTCCCCCGCCCTCTTTCACTCATTTCCACCCTTACCTTCCCACCCACAGACACTTTGAAGGATTCCTTTCTAATCCTCACTGTGCTCCTACCCGCTTAGCCCCTATTTCTCCCTCCCATTGACTCATTGCTCATACACTCATTCATTTTTTTCTCTTTAAATATTTTGTGTTTTTCTCTCCTTTCCTTCCTGCCCCCCCTTCCACCTCCCTGCTTTCTTTTCTTTCATACTATAGGCAGGTGCTGTACCACTAAAGTACGTCCCCGACCGTACAGATTTCTCAGTAACTTGTACTTGTTCCGTGGGTGTGTTTAAAGGCTTTATGTGTGGTCACCCTGAGTTCTCCCTGCTTTTCAAAGCAGGTTTCAGGAATTTGTTAAGCAAGGGGAATGCTTGATTTTCTTCATCACTTCGTGGGTCCTCAGCTATCCATTGAAGACTTTGAGTTGAGTATCACTGGCAATCTTCCTGGAGCCTCCTGAAAGTTCTGGCCTGTGCACAGCGCTAGTGACACTGAGGAACTGGTCCCCGTCTGTTTTCCGAGAGCGTGTGTGTAATGGAATCAGGAGGTGACAGTCCACACACCCGGTGTATGCCTGTGTGCCAGTGTACTGTGAAGTCTGGTGGTGTAGATCTCAGGACCTATTGGAGCAAGCTGGCTGGTCAGACCCGCGTATTTGGTGAAGCCCTGAATTCAGTAGAGACATTGCCTCAACAGATAATGAGGAGAGCAATTAAAGCAGACTCCTGACTTCAGCCGTGATTCTCCACGTGCTCATGCACATGATTGTACACACATGCATCCAAACACAGAGACATATGTTAGAAAAAATAGTAGATTTGTCCCCAACCTTAATCATCTTCTTCATTCACTTCCACTTCTAAGGTTCCCCTGCAGGGACTAGTGTTACATTAATGTTTTACTTTTGGCTTTTTGGGGGGCCCACTACCCAGCTCCCAAATAAATCACACCTGGAGGCTTATTATTAATTAGGAATGCCCAGCCTTAGCTTGGCTTGTTTCTAGCCAGCTTTCTGTCAATTAACCCATCTATCTTTTCCCTGGCTGTCTTCGCTTGCCTGGCCCTCTGGCAGGGCCAGGGCGAACGGTGCTGCTGCTGGTGGGTCAGGAGGTCTAGAGCAGTGGTTCTTAGCCTTCCTGATGCTGTAACCCTTTAATATGGTTCATGTTGTGGTTTTGTTGCTACTTCAAAACTGTAATTTTGCTGCTGTTATGAGTCGTAATGTAAATATTTTTGGAGATGTTTGCCAAAGGGGTCGAGACCCATGGGTTTTGAGCACCTCTGGTCTAGAGGCTGATAGGATTTCTGCCCTCAGGTGGTACAGCTGAAAGCCGTGTTCCCACATGGTGCAGGATTTGTGCTGGCCTTCGAGTTTATGCTGTCAGACCTGGCAGAGGTGGTGCGCCATGCCCAGAGGCCCCTGGCCCCAGCACAGGTCAAGAGCTACCTGCAGATGCTGCTCAAAGGTGTTGCATTTTGCCACGCCAACAACATTGTGCATCGGGTCAGTACCAACATGGGCTGTGGTGGGCTGGGGTGAGCTAGTCCTTGAAGAGGGTCTTCAGGTAAGCAGCCAGGGCTGTGGCTCTAGAGGAGATGGGGCTGACTGCCTAGCTCCCTGTCCCAAAGCCCTATGGGTAGAGGGAGACTGATGCCCCCTTTTGTCTGCACAGGACCTAAAGCCTGCCAACCTGCTCATCAGTGCCTCAGGCGAGCTCAAGATCGCGGACTTTGGCCTGGCCCGCGTCTTCTCTCCAGATGGTGGTCGCCTCTACACACATCAAGTGGCCACCAGGTAATGAGGCTGTATCCCTGCCAGTTCTCTCATGGGGAAGAGACACCTCTGCACCTTCTGTCCGGGCATGGGCTGTGAGCTTCTCATCAGACCAGCTATCCAGCCATGATCTCAAACCCTTTCCCCAGGTGGTACCGAGCTCCTGAGCTCCTGTATGGTGCCCGGCAGTATGACCAGGGCGTCGACCTATGGTGAGACCCTGGGGTGGATGAGGTAATGCGTGCCTGCCATGGGGATGTCTCTGAGTTTGTTGGGGGAAGGTTAGGGCAGTGATAGTCTCAGGCGGGAGGCGTCTGGGTAAGGTGCTCTGGGGTACAGTTCAGGTATCTTGACTTGAGGATGAGACAGCAGTGAGCTTGAGCGAGGCTTGTGCCCCTGGGTATGAGGGCTCAGCATTCTGGTGGACTAGTTTGTGGTCTTCAGAAGTCTGAGGTTTGGGTTATTTTGCATTTCTGCCTCCGAAACTGAGGAGGAGCTGGGTGTCCCAGATACGGGGCTCTAAGTGTCTTGGAGCTATCAGGAGCTGCTCTGTCACTAGAAACCTCTGGACCTTGACCCTGGCGTGAGGTGTTAGAGCTGTCGTGGGTAGCGTGATCACCCATGTATGAGAGCTCCAGTTGCTTACATCTGTATCTACAGGGCTGTGGGCTGCATTATGGGAGAACTGTTGAATGGGTCCCCCCTGTTCCCGGGAGAGAATGACATCGAGCAACTTTGCTGTGTGCTTCGCATCCTGGGCACGCCCAGCCCTCGAGTCTGGCCGGTTAGTAGCAGCCGTTGCTGGGGAAGGCGTGGGATTGCTTTCTTCCCCAGTAGGAAGTGACTTCTATTCATGCAGGTGTACCGGGGCCCCAGCTTTCCTTGACTGCAGAAGGGCCAGGTCTTGTCTGGGTGACATCTCAGCAATTGGGGCAAGGAGCGCGTGTGTGGGTGATGAGGGACCGTGATCTGAGTGAGAACGTGAAAGGGAGCCTGCATCGGAGTGGTGAGGTGGGGCCTGCTCTCATTGCCTCTTCCTCTGCTGAGCTCAGGAGATCACAGAGCTGCCCGACTACAACAAGATCTCCTTCAAGGAGCAGGCACCGGTGCCCCTCGAGGAGGTGCTGCCTGATGCCTCTCCCCAGGCCTTGGACCTGCTGGGCCAGTTCCTCCTCTACCCTCCACACCAGCGTATTGCAGCCTCCCAGGTAAGATTCAAGTTGTGGTCACTGTTCTGATACTCTGAACTATGGGACCCTGCCCAGTCGGGGACTCTCAGAACCTGTGACGGACTGGAACCCCGGGCTTCCCAATGGGGTGTTCTTCAGGGGAGTAGTCAGTGACCTTTGCCCTCTGTCCATCCCCCTCTTGTTGTGGTTTCTTCTTGCAGCTGCAGGAGTTGGAGGTGTGGGTGTTGTCACCTCCCCCCCTGATTGCGCTTCATGTCCTTATCCCTCCTGTGCTTGCTGCTTGCCTTGGGCTTGTGCTCCTGTGTGTGTCCTAACCCTTAAAACCCTGCAGCAGCTCCCTGGTCTTTATTTATAACTTGTCCTGGGAGACATGAACAAGTGTCTGTCCACCGAGATAGACACTGCTAACAAATTTGACCTGAGGTCAGATACAGTCTCAGGTATTTTCTGGGACTTGTAAGTTTCCTCTAATTCCTGAGTCTATAAGGAGCCTCCTGCCCAGAGGGAATGTTTCAATCGGGAGGAAATAGCCACACATCAAACTATCGTTGTTGGAGATATACCTGTACATTCTGCCCCTTTCTCTGGTTTATGTCCCCAACCCCTTCCTCTGTTGGCAAGACTTTCAAGCTCACTACCATGTTCCCAGCCGCTGGGACAGTGCTCCAGACAGGCACAAAGGCAGGATTTGCTGACCCAGCTGAATGGTTCTGGGGGCTGGTAGTGACAGGATTTCTTCAGCTGCCTCTTGTTTGCTACCCTCAGGCCCTTCTGCATCAGTACTTCTTCACAGCTCCTCTGCCTGCTCATCCCTCTGAGCTGCCAATTCCTCAGCGCCCAGGAGGACCTGCACCGAAGGCTCACCCAGGCCCCCCTCATGTCCATGACTTCCATGTGGACCGTCCTCTTGAGGAGTCACTGCTGAACCCAGAGCTGATTCGGCCCTTCATCCCAGAGGGGTGAGATGCTCGCCTAGTCCTGCCTGCTTGCCCCAGGAGCATCTAGACAGCCGTTCCTCTGCCTCTTCCAGATTTGCCTTCATAGCCTCCCCATGGATACATCACACCTCACCCTACTCCTTAGCCTGCTTGAGGACTGGGCTTCGGGGGGCAGAACCATGAAGATGTCCAGCCCAGCAGAGAATGAGACTCACATAGCCTCTGGAAACTGCTAGCTGTGTCCTTTCCCAGAGCCACCACTCCGTGATGTCCCCTACCTTGGATCCTGTTCAAGTCCATTGCTATTACAGCAGCACCTGGGAAGGCAGGCTTGCTTTGGTTTGGTTTCCAGAGCACTCTGGACCGGGATTTGAGATTCATATAAAAGCTCCGAGTGTTTCTGCCTGTTTCTGTTAGGGAAATTGACAAGGTGGCCCCTTAATTTATAGGGCTCAGTCACCCAGAAAGTGTTTCCAGTTAGGGCGGCTTTGGTCCTGAGGCTTCCTGTGCCATTCATGTGATTTAAGTGCTTATTTGGGAGTGAGGGTCCAGAAGTTGAGGCCAGGGATGAACAGTTTCCACATGCCGGGCAGTTAGTTTTTCTGTAAGCCGGAGGCTGCCGCGCACATTTGACGCAGGCATTCCTGGAATTCATTTAGTAAATAAATTCCAGTGTAACTCAGCCAGCTTGATGATCTTTATTTTATAGTAATACAGTAAGACGAGTCCAAAACAGTGGTTCTCAACCTTCCTAATGCTGTGACCTTTTAATTCAGTTCCTCAGGTTATAGTGACCCCCAACCATAAAATTATTTTCATTGCCACTTCATAACTGTAATTTTGCCACCGTTATGAATTATAATGTAAATATTTGATATGCAGGATATTTGGTATGAGACCCCTATGAAAGGGTTGTTCAACCCCCAAGAGGTCATGACCTATGGGAATTGAGAAGCACTGGTCTAAAAGAATACTGAGATGTCAAGGACCAAGAGGAGGAGCAGACAGAAGATGATGAGGACTTGTATAGTGGATATTAAGACTTACTATATGGTTATGTAAGGACTAAGACAGAATATTGTTTCAGGAATAGACAAAATAGAATCTTAACTATCCATTATTCAAATATATAACAAAATTTGCTAGTGACTTTGGGATATACCTGTAACCCTAGTGCTCAAGGGTCTAAGATAAGAGGTTTCCTAAGAGTGAAAGATCACCCTGGGTTATAGTGGGAGATCCTGTCTGGAAAAAAAAAGTGAATGTGTGTATATAATATACACACGTAGGAGACACATTATACTCTTAAAATGTTTGTTTTAGTCCTAACATGCATTGGTTGTGTGAGTATTGGGGACACAGAGGTAACTAACAGATTTACACCATACTGCTCTCAGGAAATCCTTATGTCTTCATAACCCGAGCTCCATTTACTTCTCTGATCATGTCTGCAGACTCTTAAGAGCTACAAGAAACTAATGGGTGACAACTTGTGTCTGAACGCTGTTTGGAAACAAAGGTACATGATGATAAAAATGCAGTCCATTTGTCCAGTGATCTCTGCAGAGCCTTTTCTAACTCCGCATCGCACAGTGATACCCAGGCATACAGGGAAACATTGACCAGCAGAAAACCAGCTCTGGATTTCCAGGTGGTGGACTCATCAGATAGTGCAACCACCACACTTGGTACTGGTAGAAACAGTGGGTGGTACTGAAAGTCATGTAATAATACAACAAAATACAAATTTACAGCCTGTAGTAGGATGGTCTACCCCCCACCCCCACACACAAAAAAAGATTTTGTTTGGCTTGTTCTTTTCAAGATGAGGCGATGAGCCTAGCTTTGAACTCGCTTTGTGACTGAGATGACCTCAATGCCTGCACTTTTATTGGGATTACACCCCTGTATTACTACACTTTACTTGTAGTAATTTGAATGCAGAGTACATATTCTAGCTGGAACAGAGGTGGTTACTTATATTAAAAAGGGAGATAAGTGGGTATTTTCAAGGATGGAATTATAAAATAAAAAAAAATTTTTTTTTTTTTTTTTTTTTTTGAGACAGGGTTTCTCTGTGGCTTTGGAACCTGTCCCGGAACTAGCTCTGTAGACCAGGCTGGCCTCGAAGAATTAAAAAAAATGTGTATAGCTTGATATCAGAGTAGGCACTTACTAGAGATAAACATTAAACTTGCATGAGTTGGCAAAAATTGCTACATATGTATGCACACAATACAGTTTTTTTCCTCTTTTTGATACTGAATCTTGTGTAGCTGAGGCTAGCATCAAACTCATTATATAGCCAAGGCTAGCATCAAACTCACTGTGTAGCTTAGAATTACAGAAGCTTGCAGAGTGCAGCTCTGCAGACTTCCTCCAGAGTTGAGGACAGAGGCTACTGTGTAGTGGAGGGGGTTAGAATAGCTCTAATCTAAGGGTTTACACAAAAGGCTCAACGTGCTGTTCCAAACATGTCTCTTTATTCTACCTCTATTTTAATTCTGTCCTAATTTTCTATAATTTTTTAGCTCTAATTCTCTCTCAATTCTAATTCCAGTTCTCTGTTACAAGTCTCTGTTCGTTATTTTACATACATTCTTTTTTCTTCTTTATTTTCCTACATTATTTTTCTCACATTCTCTATACCTTTACATTTCTGCCACCTTCTGTTTGCTCTCTTAGCTTTTATAGACCCACAGAATCTTGCAGGCATTACCTCTGAAGGTCACATACCATTTCTTAAGTAAACGATAAGAAACAGTGATTCCAACAATTCACAGTGCAATAAATCCAGATAGTTAAGAAAAGAGCACTTTCTTTTAGTTAACTCCCTAACTAGTGGACTGCAAACTGCAGCTGTAAAAGGAGAAGTCTTTTTGTTATCCATAAAGGTAGCCTTACAAAACTAAACTAATAAGAGAAATAAGGAAATTGTGTGCTATATCCTATACTTTAAAAAAAATGTGTTATGTTTATGGTGTTCTGTCTTCATGTATGTCTGTAGGCCAGAAGAGGGAGCCACCATGTGGTTGCTGGGAATTGAACTCAGTGTCTCTGGAAGAGTTCTTAACCACTGAGCCCCTATATCCTATACTTTGGATTGTATAAAACATCTTAAACATTTTGTGATAAAGTTATAAAGTCCAGGCTTTCTGGGACTGGGGACTTGTTTGTTTACAAATGTGTCCTCAGAGAGAGGGCAGCAGCAGCTGGAGCTGCAGGGCTGGGGCAGAGGAGTCCATATAGCACTCACCAACACAGTGGCATTTGAAGCATTTTCAATGTCCAGCATGTAACCCTTGACCATAGAAAGAAAAGCTTGTAACTCTTTTTTTTGGGGGGGGGAGGGGGGCTATGAAGTTATTTTATATTTTGTAGCTAACTCTGGCCAGATAATCTTTCTTCCCTGGTGCCTGAACAAAGGCTGAGGTTAGGAATCTGTGCAGAGTTAATTATTATCCCCAGTACTCCAGTTAAATTACTCTGCACTATTTACCTTGGCTCAATAAATTGTACAGCTGGCTACATGTTCTAGTAAATAAGATTGTATTCTTTTTTGTTTTGTTTTTCAAGACAGGGTTTCTTTGTGTAACAGTCCTAGACGTCGTGGAACTCAATTGTAGACCAGGCTCGCCTTGAACTCAAAAAGATCCAAGTGCTGGGATTAAAGGTGTGCACTACCACTGCCCAGCTAAGATTGTATTCTTTTGGTAATAGTTTACCTTAAAATCCAATTAGCAAAGCACCTGGCCTGATCTAAAAGCTACTTTAAAGTTTTATATCAGTTGATAGTGTGTGGCTATCTAGGCAGCTGGGGAAATTACAGTGTTTTCTTAAGCTGTACTCTAGTTCCACTCTTAATGGAAGCTTAGAACTTCTGACTTGGGCAGCATTTGTTTTATTCATGAAAACTTGATATAGGTTAACAGTATTAGTACTAATTGGATAATACAGCTAAGGCAGAACCATCTTCTTGACAATTCATAGATAAAAATGCCCAGTAGATAAGGAATGTATTCATGTCACACACACACACACACACACACACACACACACACACACACACACACACGCACATGCTAGGGAAAGAATGCATTTAGCACATTTAAAATTATAGGGAGAAACATCAGATATTCTGGCGTCTGTATTTCTTGCAGGTCTTGCAAGGCACACTTCCTCCATCAGAAGTTAATTCTGGCGGTTGACACCTTGAATATTAATTGCTCCTGTAATAAATGATAAAGGCTCTCTGCCAGAATGACCCTGAACTCATCCTGCGGCCAGTGCAGGTGTGAACTACTGATTCTGGATTCTGCAGTGCTGAGGATTGAATCCAGAGTTCAATGTCCAGTGCATGCCGGACATTTCAACCCTTTGAGGACTCAACAAGGCCTTAATGTGGTGTGGGAGGTCCTGTCTATGTGTTGCTTTCATTGGTTAATAAAGGAACTGCTTTGGGCCTATAGCAGAGCTGTAGGGGAACAGAGCTAGGAAGGGAAAAATAAATGGAATGCTGGGAAGAAGAGGTAGGGAGACACCATGGAGCCACCAGAGTCAGACATGCTGAGTCTTTGCCATTAAGCCACTGCCATGTGGCGATATACAGATTAATAGAAATGGGTTAAATTAATATAAAAGTTAGTCAATAAGAGGCTAGAGCTAATGAACCAAGCAGTGTTTTAATTAATAATAGTTTCTTGCCGGGTGGTGGTGGTGCACGCCTTTAATCCCAGCACTTGGGAGGCAGAGACAAGGTGGATCTCTGTGAGTTTGAGGCCAGCCTGGTCTACAAGAGCTAGTTCCAGGACAGGCTCCAAAGCCACAGAGAAACCCTGTCTCGAAAAACCAAAAAAAAAAAAAAAAAAAATATAGTTTCTCTGTGGTTATTTTGGGGCTAAGCTAGCCAGGCGGCTGGGACGAACAAGTGGGCCCTCCTCCAACATTAATGTCTAGTCCATGTTGTCTTCAAACTCAGGTTTCCAGCCTCTGGTGTAGCTGGGTTTACAAGTGGATGCCACTGCAGCTGACTTCAGAGTTTAAGATAGATGTGAGTAATGAGAGCTAAAAATAGACAAATTCACTTTCAAGGTAGTTAGTTTAAAGCTGGGCCTGCTATGGCTGCCAGTGGTGTCATACAGTTTTAATTCCAACACTTGAGATGTTGGCAGATCTCTGAGTGCATGACCAGCCTGGTCTACATAACAAGTTCCAGGCTGGACTACATAGTGAGACCCTTTCAAAAAATATTTGCATGATAGGATTAATGGCAGGCAAGACATAAAGAGAAGATTGATGTGTGTATAAGTACATGTGTGCTTTAGCACATGTGTAGCACATGTGCAAAGGTCAAAGGGCAACGTTCCAAGAGTTGGTTTTCTCCTTTCGTGTGCCCCAGGTATTGAGTTCAGGTCATCAGGTGGGTGACAAGTGCCTTTACCAGTAGGGCCATTTTGTTGGCCCTATGTACAGGGTTTGTGCAGATTTTTCATGCACATAAGGGACCCGAGACTCCGTAGGCTGATACCTGCAGGGTTCTGGAAGCAGTTCCCTGTGCACACTGATGGGTGAATGCATTTTACTACAAGGCCAGATACTCGGTGGATTTAATAAAGTGAGACTTAGTGACATTTGTTTGTAGTGCTGCCATCATGAGTCACAGTATTTCACAGGCTATTTTTT